ATAGCTGCTTTGCAGTGAAGTCCTACCCTTCTCCAGGACACCATTGTGCCTCTGAAAGCATCACTCTGAGGTCTGAAGGCAATGGAAAGAATAGTCAGGCCAGGGAGATGTCCATACCAAGAACTCCTGGGTCACTTGTACCAGTAAGACAGCCTTCTACCCAGAAACATCAACTTTGACAAGAGGGACGAATCTGCAATGTCAGCTGAGCAGGCTTTCCGCTAAGGAGCAGTGCTCATATGAAAGGCAGAAGGGTTTCCTTAGCATGATCATCCCATAATGGAGGCTCAATGAGGAAGGCAAAGACCTTTCTTTCCTCCTCAGGCTGGGTCTGTTCTGAGCAAGTAGAACAGATACAAACCATCTCCAATACCTTTTAGTTTCTTGGAGTGGGTCCTCTTTCCTCCTTACACTCTAGGTGCTATTATCTCAGAAGGAGGGACCTGTTCTCCTCACTTTAAATCCTTCCAGGGGCAATTTCAGATACATCCACTATTTTAACTCCCAACCAAATGGGTGACTCCTAAATCCCTCTCCTGCTAGACAACTCCTTGGAGCTCTAGAAATCCAACTGTAAACTCACATAAGAAATTGAAGTGTCACCACGGGTGCTTCCTTTTGCACCAATTCTCACAATCTACTTAGTATTCAACTTCCTCCTAATACCTTCCTAACATCTATTTTCTCCATTCCCAAAGATCACATATAAGAATTATGTGTTAGTTACTTTTGTGTAGCTATGACCAAAATACCTGGCAACTTAAAGGAAGAGAGATTTATTTTGGCTCACAGTTTCAGAAGTGTCAGTCCATAATGGTAGAGTGGATATGGTGAATCGGATCAGAGCAAACCACACCATGATGTCCAGAAAGCATAGAAAGGGATATAGAAGAGTCCAAGACAAGATATAGTCCCCAAGGACACACCTCCAGTGACTTACTTCCTCTAATTAGGCCCCATTGCCTAGCTTTCGCCACCTCCCTATAATGTCACATTCTGAATCCATCAAGGGATTAACCCATTCATTAGGTCAAAGCCCTCATGATCTCATCATCTCTGGAAATGCCATTAGACACGCCCAGAGTGTGCTTTACTAATGCCCTTGACATCTCTCAATACAGTCAATTGATGATGAAGATTAACTAACACAAACCACCAGAAATTTTAAGTGTATTTTGGGGGAGAGGATCACAGTTTCTCATCAGATTCTCAAAGGAGTTCATCATCCTCAAAAAGTCAAGAACCAATGCTAATCTCTCCTCTTCAAGTCCTACTCTACCTGTCAAAATGGACCAAATGTGAATTCATTTCCCTTGCTTAAAATCTTTTAAGGTCCTTCAGAATACAGCATGAGCTCCCTACAGCTGCCTTACAAGGTCCTTCCCATGTGTCACCTTCCCTCCTTGACTTATTTCTTGTTATTCTCCTCAAAACCATGGCAGATACCCTCGGTATCTTATGTCATCCACCCTCTGCCCAATGTCCCAGCATGTGTTATTCCCTTTGCCTGGAAGGTCCTTCTTATCCACCCTGGCAACCTCTGATTCCAATGTAAGACCCAATTCAAAGTCACTTACCCTGTGACACATTCCAGACAGCAGCCTGCTGTAAGGTAGAACTCATCACGTCTGTCAGTACTGCCTACATCTTTTGTACAGTTACCTTTGTGCTCATCACACTGTGCTGTGATTCCTTGCTTATAGGTTCTTCTTACTTGACTGTGAGTGCTGCTGAAGGGTGACCATGAACACTCATGTATACATTCTCACTACTTGGCAGAGTGCCTGACACCCAGGAAAAGTATGCTGAGCTATAAATGAATATAACTAATAAGCAATTACAACTGTAGAGCACTTTACAATTCACAGATCACATATTTTATCTCTTGATCTTCACCACATCAATATGGTAGACAGTTGATGGAGTTCATCCTCCCATGAACTCCATTCCCTGAATAGTTGGGATTACAGGTGTGCACCACCACACAAAATCCAAGATGATTCTTAAAGACTGTTACCATCCAGGTCCCAGAGTCAGAAAGCAGAGCACATGAAGTTTAGTTGGAAAACATAGCAGTAAGATGAGCTGGCAGAAAAAACTACGGCAGACAAAGGTAGTCTGGAATGAAAAAAGATAGGAGAGAGGGGTAGATCTTGCAAACTATAGATAGTGAGTTTATTAATGATTCCTACCAAAATTCTGGATTTTTTTTTTGGGGGTTGCTGGGGATTCTTAAACACTTAAGTGATGGGTTCCTTAGAACAACATCCTTAGAACAACATGCCAGAATAAATTTCTTTTTAGAAAAGATTATTGGGGCAAGAAATAAGACAAATGCTAGATACATTTTTATTTTAGCAAGAAAACTGTGAAGATCTCTTACAATTTTGTAGACAAAACAGAGAATCAGAGGATGAAAAAAAGGAAGTTTAGTGGATTATAGCTGTGAATGTTAAAAATGCATCAAAACTATCCTGATCATGTGCTCTAGGTCTCTGTACTTAATAGAGTCCAAATACTTATTTTAATCCAAAAAAGTACATGACAGCAGGGACCTTGTCTATCTAACTAATCAGTGTCTAGAACAGTGCCTAGTACACATAGAAATAAAGTGTTTTGTTTTTTGGTGGTACTGGAGTTTGAACTCAGGGTCTCACGCTTTGCTAGGCAGGCATTCTACTGCTTGAGTCACTCTGCCAGCTCTTATGTTGGGTATTTTCAAGATGGGGTCTTGCGAACTATTTGCCTAGGCTGGCTTCGAACCTTGATCATTCTGATCTCGACCTCCTAAATAGCTAGGATTATCTTTATTATTTCATGAGTCATGAAAGTCTTTTCCAACATTTTTTCCTGTCTGTCTACCTACCTATCTACTGAGAATGTAGGCTTGTTGCCATAGGAGTTAAAAAGAATTCAGGAGATTGCAGAAAGGGATAATAAATAAGTAAATAAATAAACAGAAAAGAAATTATTTGGAATAGGGTGGGTAAACTATAGATGATGGGCCAAATCCAGCTTGCTGCCTATTTCTGTAAGTAAAAGTTTTTATTGAAACACATCCATGAACATTTGTTTGTGTGTGTCTATTTGTATAGTTGCTTCTGCCTTAAGTGACCAAGTTGACTAGTCACAACAGAGACCAACTGACCCACAAAGCTTAAAATGTTAGCATCTGGCTCTTGCCAGAAAATGTTTGCTGAGTTCTAACCTAGAATGTTGGATATCAGCATCAACCCAGAGAGAAGCATTAGAAAATAAAGCTACAAAACTTGAACACAGGCCATGGAGGCCAGTGTGACAGTAGTTGAACTACATGGCTTTATAGCTCTGACATTCTGTAAAATAAAAAATATTTCCTGATCCCCCCCTCTCCCAGGCTCCTGAGAGCAGATGAGAAGGAACTCAAGAATCCCCTTCCTCCTCCCTGGCTCTGCCTTCTCACAAATGTGCTTCCTTGCTTTCTGGTGAGAGCTCCTGAAGAGAAGACAGACCTGAGGGAGAATGCTTGTTTGAGCGAGGAGAGGACAACCACGAGCTGAGTCTTCATGGATTAGGTGGCAAATACAGGGCAAGTTTGGTACTCGTGAACTTTACTTCTGTTTTTCAAGAAGCAAAGATCATGGCCTGCATGTGGAACTGTCAGCTGGGGAGGAATGAGAAAACACATGGGCAGGCGCGAGATCAAACAGCCAGTCAAGAGTTAGGGAACATTCAGAAGAGCAGGCTGCAATTATTGCCTAGGACAGGAAACCCTGTGGAGGATCCAGCCTCTGGAATGCAGCCTCAACAAAAGAATCATGTTTACAGATGGAGAGGCAGGGGATGGCAACTGCACGCTTTACCTGGGCTGCAGTGCCCTGATGCGCTTGGACACTCCCCTCATACCAGTTTCTCCCTGGGCACCAATGACACATCCCCTCTGGGCCACCACACATCCATATCAGTCTGGCTTCAGTGACGGCAGCTCTGAGAGCTGAGTGCATTGCTCCCCTCAGCTTAATCTCCCCCAGGGTCCATGTTCTGACCCTCAGACAGTCAGCCAGGTTGTCTGTCCTGTCATCACTGCTAACCCTAAGCAGTCATTGCCCAGCTGCCCTGTTGCTGGGAGTCTCAGTTTGTCTGAGTGATCCAGAACAATGGGCAGGAAGGAGGACAAGCAAAAGGTCAAATATAAAATGCTCATTTCTGTCAGCAGCCAGAGTAACCTGCCTTCTTCCCAATTCCACTTCAGAAGAACTACAGACCAGAGGTCATACAGACTGACTTCTCAGGTCCCTTTTCCAGACAGGGGGCCTGGCCCTCGTACACAGCCTCTTCTGAAGTCCCAGCAATCACCCACATGACATCCCAGGAGGCACCAATGCCAACCCTATTTTACAGTACTTGATGGCATAGAAAAGGTTCACTATTTGTCCTGGATTACACACACAGTAAGATGAGTGGCCAGTCCCAGGGACAAGATTAATACTGAAAAGTCAGGGCTGGAGGCATAGCTCAAGTGGTAGAGAACATGCCAACAAGCATGAGGCCCTGAGTTCAAGCCAAAAAGAAAAAGAAAAGGAAAAAGCAATATTTAGAGTAGCTTTTAGGGACATCCAGGGCTGAGGAAACTAGTGAGGTGTTTCCTAATTCTGGGCAGGGTAAGTCTCCAGAAATTGAACAAGGAGCAGTTACCTAATTGTTTCTTTGAAGCCCATTCTACTGCCCACTCTTAGGAGGTTTGCCAGGCTTAGGTACTCTGAGGAGAACACCAGTAGAAATATGTCTCACCACAATCAGTTATCATCTCAGGCTTTGATGTCTTTCTACAACACTTTTTAAGTGATACAATTATATAGCCAGAGGGACTTTGAAGGACATTTGGTCCAAGCCTTTAGGGTTATCCATGAGTTCCTGAATATAAGAAACTTGCAGAGGTGCTAGAAGCACTGGCACTGAACAAGGCTGATGAAAGCCACAGAAGAGTTCCCAGAGCACCGGGGTAGCTAGCCCAGGCTTACCTTCCAAAGAATGGATTCCCTGCTCCTTGGCAGTCTTGTAGACACTGCTGAAATCATCCCCAAGGTTTGGGTCAGCCCCAGCAGCAAGCAGGATCTGCACCACACTGGAAGCAATCAGAGACAGAAGTGTCATAAGGACTGGTTTCCATGACTATAAAAAAACTATTCATTCAGCAACTACTTTACCAAATGCCTACTATGTTCTAGTCACTGTTTAGGCACCAGGGACCATGCTTACATAGAGAACTGACAGTCTGCTTGAGAAGGAAACAAATACACAATTATAGCAAAATGTCATAAAGGTTATGATGGGAAAGCCCAGCGCTGGTGGCTCATGCCGGTAATCCTAGCTATTCAGGAGGCAGAGATCAGGAGGATCGTGGCTCGAAGCCAGCCCAGGCAAATAGCTCGCAAGACCCTATCTCAAAAATACCCATCACAAAAAAGGGCTGGTGGAGTGGCTCATGGTGAAGGCCCTGAGTTCAAGACCCAGTACTGCAAAAAAAACAAAAAAAAAAATTCATGTGCAGCAGAACAAGGGAGTGGATCAAGAAAGGCCTCCCAGCAAGATGGCAAACATCAATTTCCAGTTTCTTTCCTTGCCATAGCAATATCAATGTGAACAATTATCCACCTGTGAAAATATATTCACAAGGGATGAGGAAACCAGGTAAGAGATCACAGCACATGGGCACAGCACAGAAATAAAGAAAAGATGTATTGAAGAGGGGTAGGAAGGACATTACATTACCTGTGTCACCCTCCCCCAATCCAAGCAGTACAGCACTGAAGAGGTATCTTCCATGTGAAGGAAGGAAAGTCCATAGGGACCTAGGATCTTTTACCACCACCCCTGTAGTCCACTCCAGGCCAGCCCCTATAGACCCAGTGGCCAGGCCCATCCCAGTGCTTGACCAACCCTTGCAAGTTCAGACTTCAGTCCTACCCCAATACAAGGTTGGTCTTTTTGGATCCAGGTTTTCTGGCCAGTCCCTCCAGATACAGGTTCCAGTCCCAACCTACAGACTCAGGTGGCAGGCCTGCTTACCTACTGGCACCAGGCCCATCTGCCTGAGGACTCTAGAAGCATGCCCACGCATGGACCACACAAGATGGCTTGCCCAGAATCTCTAAAGAGCTGACTGGTGAAGGGCTTTCTCAGACAAAGTCAGTCTATGAAGACTGGAATAAGTCCTAACATCTTCAAGTACACAGCCATCAGTGCATGCTGACAAGGATCAAAAGCAAACAGGGAAATGTGACCCTCTCCAAAGGAACAAAATGAATAACCAGTAACCAACCCTAAAAAAGTGGAGATTCATGATCTACCTGACAAAGAATTTGAAATAATTGTTTTGACAAAGCACAGTGAAAATTCAAGGAAGCAAAGAGAAGTCTTTTATTTTGGCAATAATGGAGTTTGAACTCAGGGCTTCAGCTTGCTAGGCAAGCACCCTAGTACTTGAACCATGCCTCTAGCTCTTATTTTATTTTTTGTTCAGCAAAACTATTTGATGAAACAATAATTACAAAAGCAAGAAATTTAACTGAGACTGAAATTATTTTTTAAAATGTCAAATTCTGGAGCTGAAAAATATAATGAATGAAATGAATTCTGCACTAGCAGAATTAATCGCACATGAGAAAGAATCCATGAACCTGAAGCTAGGCTTTTGAAACTATACAATTGTGGCACACTCCTGTAATTGCAGCACTTGGGAAGCTGAAACAAGAGGATTACAAGTTTGAAGCCAGCCTAGGCTACATAGTGAGTTCTAGTTCAGCCTGGGCTACCCTAGGAGATCCTAGCTCTAAAAATTGGGCTATATCTTTCCTTGCTGTTGAGTTCTATATGTATTTTGAATATGTGCAAACTGCACATCTGATATGAGGTTAATATCCAAAATACATATGGACTTCAATAGCAAGAAAAGATATAGCCTAATTAGAAAATGAACAAGATCTGAAAAAAGACCTGAATAGATATTTCTCAAAAGAAGACATAAAAGAAGCTAACAGGTATATGAAAAAGTGTTCAACATTACCAATTACTAAGGAAATGAAAATTAAAACCACAAGGAGATACTGCCTCACGCCTGCTAGAAAGGTCATTGTCAAAAGATAAAAGACAACTGTTGACGAGGATGTGGAGCTAAGGTAACCTTGCACACTGTTGGTGGGAATGCAGACTAGTAGTCATTATGGAAAGCAGTATGGAAGTTCCTCAAAAAATTAATTTGAGCCAGCAATCTCAGTACTAGGTATATATTGAAATGAAGATATGGAAGACATACTTGTATTCTTATGTTCAACACAGCATCATTCACAATAAGTAAGATATGGAATCAACTTAAGCCTCCATCAATAGATGAGTGGATAAACACACACACATACACACACACACACACTCACATACACACACACACACACACACACACACACACACACACACACACACACACACACAAACACTCATAATGCCATTTGGCCTTAAAAAAAAGAAGGAAACTCTATCATTTGCAATAACATGGATGAAACTGGAGGACTTTATGCTAAGTGAAATAAGTCAAGCACAGGAAAAATAAATAACCTCACTTATATGTGGTCTCTAAAAAAATTAAACTCATAGAAGCAGAGCTGAATGATGGCTACTGGAAGCTGAAGGGGGGCTGGAGCAATTTTTAGTCAAAGGGTACAATATTTCACAAAGAAGAAAGGAAGGAGGGAAGGGTGAAAGAAGAAAGAAAGAAAGAGTAAAAGAAAAGCCTTCTAGAGGAAGTGGCATTTAAGGCTTGAAAGTCAAGTGGCCAGAGCTGGGAGCTGGAGTTGGGAGGTAAGGGAAAGAAGAGTGGGAAGGCGGGCGAGCCACTGAAGGTTTGAAGTAGAAGTGACATGATCACATATGCTTTCTCCTCCACCGTAAAAGGCATACACACAAATACATACTTACAAATTCAGACCATATTGAAATATTAAATTAAGAAATGAAAGTCTCCCCTCATACTCATCTCTTTAATCTGAGCTCCAAGAGTAACTGCTATTAACACCTTGGCATATTTCCTTCCAAACCTTTGCAATTAGAAAAATTACTCCAGTGGCTCTGTGAGAATGGACTGGAAGGAGTGCACCCAGAGGCAGGAACTCTACAAGGTCACAGTGCTTGGTCTAGAAGTGACCATGTATGTTAGCTTCCCTTCTTTCTTCTTCAATTACATAACATTCCTGCTAATGCTTCTTTTTCCCTTCCAATAAAAAAGGGGCTCATGTTCACTATAAAAAATCAGAAACTATCAATAACCAAAAAGACAGTGTCTCAGAATATGTAACATCCTTCCACTTTTCTCTTTTGTTTCTAGGTAATATGGTTTTATTTCTTTACTTTTCATGGTATTGTAGTTTTTATTAGTGTATATTATTAATTGTACAAGGGGGTTTCATTGTGACATTTTCATACATAGGTATAATTTACTTTAATCAAATTTGCCCTCTCCAATACTTTTTCTTGTCCACACAGTTTTTTCAATGAATATATATACACACACACATATATTCGTATATACATATAATTTACAATAATGGGATCATATAAACTCTAAACACCCCCTCCCATGTATTATATGTCAACATTGTTTTTAATGGCTACAAAGTACTCCACCTTAAGATTGTTCTATAATCTGAAAACTATTAACATAGAATAGGGGAAAAAGGGTGAGGAAGTGCAGTGGTAGGGGTCTACACTGGCTGAAGCCCAGTGCATGTATAGGTATAAAACCAAGGCAAATTATCACTGAACAATGAAAAGACACCTAAACAATGAAGGACAAGAATGAAGAACAGTTCACCCTAAGGGGAGGGGGAAGGTAAAAGAAGGAAGTAAAGAAGGTGAACATGGTTGACATACTTTCTTTATGAGAATGAATATAGAATTTTTTAACCTGTTGAAATCACCATAAGAAAAGGTCTAAGGTAGAAAGGAGAAAAACGGAGGAGATAAAACATTCTGGGATACAATACATATATACATGAAACTCTGTAAAGATATCTTAAACAAAAAAAAAAAGTCTTTTTTTCAAAAACATAAAACAGGAAGGTAAAACACGTCCTGTCTGGGGGTTGGTATTAGTGGGAGTAGGGGAGGATATAAGGAATTGCCCCTTTGACACTGGGGCAAAAAAAAGTTTGTAGAACCCCATCTCAACGAAAAAACTGGGCGTGGTGATATACACCTGTACATCCCAGTTATGATGGGGAGCATAGTGGGGATCCAGGCCAGCCTGAGTAAGAAGCGAGATCTTATCTCAAATGTAACAAGAACACAAAAGGCTGGAGGTATGACTCAAACACTAGAGCACCTGCCTAGCAAGTATGAGGCCCTGAGTTTGAACCCCAGTGTCAAAAAAAGGAAAAAAATTACCATTCATAGGTAATTTATCCAGCATATGGATTAAGATTTCAATGAGAAATGAGAAAGATTTCTAAGCAGCTAAAATCCATGTCTAAAACTAGTATTTAATTTATTAGAGTCTTTCATTATTAGAGTCTGGAGAAACACAGAAGTTGGACTACTGACATTAGTCTGCCTGTTTCCCAGAAGGCTAAAGGCCATGAGTGCACAACATAGGGCTGAGAGAGATAGGCAAACTGACTGAAGAGAGTGCAAAATGATATCTGAGAGAAAGGTGGTACAGCTCAGGGGTTAAGAACACCGGTGGTAAAATCTGGGATGATCTAAGCATTAAAATGAATAATGACCCACTATCATTATAAACATATTTTTTTTCGAGGAAAAGATTTCAGATGAGGAACAGTTAGGAATTGGGAGAGAGTTTTTTATTATAATGTGAAAGTGCACACTTGAGTGGGTGTGAGTGTTCTCTGGGTGAATTGTAACCATAATTGTATTTATATAATTATAATTATAACTCACCAAATAAAATATGATTCCAAACCACTAGAAATTAATGGCAGAGCTTTAGAAATAAAAAACTGGCTTTGTTAGAAACAAAACAAAATATGATTCCATGAGCCTACATTGAAAATAAATTATTAAGTTAATGGGGGAGAAGGGAAAGCTCTTCTTTACCACAAAATGACAACTAATAAC